GAATAATGTCGATGTGTTTGCATGTTACTGTTGTAGAAATTTAGGAAAGTACGGAAGACAAACGAATGAATAAACCGATCACTGAACAAACACGATATCATATTAGTGACTAACAAACACAATATTATATTAGTGACTAACAAACACGATATCATATTAGTGACTAACAAACACGATATCATATTAGTGACTAACAAACACGATATCATATTAGTGACTAACAAACACAATATTATATTAGTGACTAACAAACACGATATCATATTAGTGACTAACAAACACAATATTATATTAGTGACTAACAAACACAATATTATATTAGTGACTAACAAACACGATATCATCTTAGTGACTAACAAACACAATATTATATTAGTGACTAACAAACACGATATCATCTTAGTGACTAACAAACACGATATCATCTTAGTGACTAACAAACACGATATCATCTTAGTGACTAACAAACACGATATCATATTAGTGACTAACAAACACAATATTATATTAGTGACTAACAAACACGATATCATATTAGTGACTAACAAACACAATATTATATTAGTGACTAACAAACACAATATTATATTAGTGACTAACAAACACGATATCATATTAGTGACTAACAAACACAATATTATATTAGTGACTAACAAACACAATATTATATTAGTGACTAACAAACACGATATCATATTAGTGACTAACAAACACTATATTATATTAGTGACTAACAAACACAATATTATATTAGTGACTAACAAACACGATATTATATTAGTGACTAACAAACACGATATTATATTAGTGACTAACAAACACGATATTATATTAGTGACTAACAAACACAATATTATATTAGTGACTAACAAACACAATATTATATTAGTGACTAACAAACACAATATTATATTAGTGACTAACAAACACGATATTATATTAGTGACTAACAAACACAATATCATATTAGTGACTAACAAACACGATATTATATTAGTGACTAACAAACACGATATTATATTAGTGACTAACAAACACAATATTATATTAGTGACTAACAAACACAATATTATATTAGTGACTAACAAACACAATATTATATTAGTGACTAACAAACACAATATTATATTAGTGACTAACAAACACAATATTATATTAGTGACTAACAAACACGATATTAGTGACTAACAAACACGATATCATATTAGTGACTAACAAACACGATATCATCTTAGTGACTAACAAACACGATATCATCTTAGTGACTAACAAACACGATATCATATTAGTGACTAACAAACACGATATCATCTTAGTGACTAACAAACACAATATTATATTAGTGACTAACAAACACGATATCATCTTAGTGACTAACAAACACGATATCATATTAGTGACTAACAAACACGATATCATCTTAGTGACTAACAAACACAATATTATATTAGTGACTAACAAACACGATATTATATTAGTGACTAACAAACACGATATCATCTTAGTGACTAACAAACACGATATCATATTAGTGACTAACAAACACCATATTATATTAGTGACTAACAAACACCATATTATATTAGTGACTAACAAACACGATATTATATTAGTGACTAACAAACACGATATCATATTAGTGACTATCAAACACGATATCATCTTAGTGACTAACAAACACGATATTATATTAGTGACTAACAAACACGATATTATATTAGTGACTAACAAACACAATATTATATTAGTGACTAACAAACACAATATTATATTAGTGACTAACAAACACAATATTATATTAGTGACTAACAAACACAATATTATATTAGTGACTAACAAACACAATATTATATTAGTGACTAACAAACACGATATTATATTAGTGACTATCAAACACGATATCATATTAGTGACTAACAAACACGATATCATATTAGTGACTAACAAACACGATATCATATTAGTGACTAACAAACACGATATCATATTAGTGACTAACAAACACGATATCATATTAGTGACTAACAAACACAATATTATATTAGTGACTAACAAACACGATATTATATTAGTGACTAACAAACACAATATTATATTAGTGACTAACAAACACGATATTATATTAGTGACTAACAAACACAATATTATATTAGTGACTAACAAACACGATATTATATTAGTGACTAACAAACACAATATTATATTAGTGACTAACAAACACGATATTATATTAGTGACTAACAAACACAATATTATATTAGTGACTAACAAACACAATATTATATTAGTGACTAACAAACACGATATCATATTAGTGACTAACAAACACGATATCATATTAGTGACTAACAAACACGATATCATATTAGTGACTAACAAACACGATATCATATTAGTGACTAACAAACACGATATCATATTAGTGACTAACAAACACGATATCATATTAGTGACTAACAAACACAATATTATATTAGTGACTAACAAACACAATATTATATTAGTGACTAACAAACACAATATTATATTAGTGACTAACAAACACAATATTATATTAGTGACTAACAAACACGATATTATATTAGTGACTAACAAACACGATATCATATTAGTGACTAACAAACACGATATCATATTAGTGACTAACAAACACCATATTATATTAGTGACTAACAAACACAATATTATATTAGTGACTAACAAACACAATATTATATTAGTGACTAACAAACACAATATTATATTAGTGACTAACAAACACAATATTATATTAGTGACTAACAAACACAATATTATATTAGTGACTAACAAACACAATATTATATTAGTGACTAACAAACACGATATTATATTAGTGACTAACAAACACGATATCATATTAGTGACTAACAAACACGATATCATATTAGTGACTAACAATCACGATATCATCTTAGTGACTAACAAACACGATATCATATTAGTGACTAACAAACACAATATTATATTAGTGACTAACAAACACGATATTATATTAGTGACTAACAAACACAATATTATATTAGTGACTAACAATCACGATATTATATTAGTGACTAACAAACACGATATCATATTAGTGACTAACAAACACAATATTATATTAGTGACTAACAAACACAATATTATATTAGTGACTAACAAACACGATATTATATTAGTGACTAACAAACACGATATTATATTAGTGACTAACAAACACAATATTATATTAGTGACTAACAAACACAATATTATATTAGTGACTAACAAACACAATATTATATTAGTGACTAACAAACACAATATTATATTAGTGACTAACAAACACAATATTATATTAGTGACTAACAAACACGATATTATATTAGTGACTAACAAACACAATATTATATTAGTGACTAACAAACACAATATCATATTAGTGACTAACAAACACAATATTATATTAGTGACTAACAAACACACTATTATATTAGTGACTAACAAACACAATATTATATTAGTGACTAGCAAACACGATATCATATTAGTGACTAACAAACACAATATTATATTAGTGACTATCAAACACGATATCATATTAGTGACTAACAAACACGATATCATATTAGTGACTAACAAACACGATATCATATTAGTGACTAACAAACACGATATCATATTAGTGACTAACAAACACAATATTATATTAGTGACTAACAAACACAATATTATATTAGTGACTAACAAACACGATATCATATTAGTGACTAACAAACACAATATTATATTAGTGACTATCAAACACGATATCATATTAGTGACTAACAAACACGATATCATATTAGTGACTAACAAACACGATATCATATTAGTGACTAACAAACACGATATCATATTAGTGAACACAGAAATACCAAAAAAAAAAAAAAAACACGATATCATATTAGTGAACACAGAAAGACTAACAAACACGATATCATATTAGTGAACACAGAAATACTAACAAACACGATATCATATTAGTGAACACAGAAATACTAAAAAACACGATATCATATTAGTGACTAACAAACACGATATCATATTAGTGACTAACAAACACAATATTATATTAGTGACTAACAAACACAATATTATATTAGTGACTAACAAACACAATATTATATTAGTGACTAACAAACACGATATTAGTGACTAACAAACACGATATCATATTAGTGACTAACAAACACGATATCATCTTAGTGACTAACAAACACGATATCATCTTAGTGACTAACAAACACGATATCATATTAGTGACTAACAAACACGATATCATCTTAGTGACTAACAAACACAATATTATATTAGTGACTAACAAACACGATATAATCTTAGTGACTAACAAACACGATATCATATTAGTGACTAACAAACACGATATCATCTTAGTGACTAACAAACACAATATTATATTAGTGACTAACAAACACGATATTATATTAGTGACTAACAAACACGATATCATCTTAGTGACTAACAAACACGATATCATATTAGTGACTAACAAACACGATATCATATTAGTGAATACAGAAAGACTAACAAACACGATATCATTACTGACTAACAAATACGATATCATATTAGTGAACACAGAAAGACTAACAAACACGATATCATATCAGCGAACACAGAAAGACTAAAAAACACGATATCATATTAGTTGTCATCATTTTTTAATGTTTTAATACGTATACACAAGCTTCATAGATATTTTTTTCTATCTTGATGAATTTTGATATGAATATCATAAACACTTTTTTAATGTTCTTTATGATGTTCGATGTAATTAATCACAACACAAAGAATGATACAAGGTAAACTGAATAAGTCAATCTTCCGTCAAGAGACGACAAAAAACGCATATTTATATTTGAAACATTTGTATACTAAAGTATACGGATTTGTCATATTTAAATATCTTTATCACATATTAGCTTTGATGTCATCACGACAATTTTCTCATAATTTAATTAGTTTTTTTGAGTTGATTGTATTTGCTTGTAGAATAATAGATAAGCGAATGGTGAGTTAGGCCATTCTTCATCAATTTCTAGTCTTCTGACATAGGAGTCGGCACACAGGTGCCAAAGGTACAGATGATCCGGGTTCCATCCGTACTTCTTTACGTAACACCAATGATGTCCTTGATCAAGATCTCCCTCGTGACAGATAACTCCATATAACTCGTACCATACACGTGCACATTCCCTGCCGGACGGTCCCTGACGAAGATCAAATTAAGCTTTAAAATGTTTTAAAATTTGGGATTATCATGTCGCGTGACGTTTTCATATATATGTTAAGTTGCATGGAATCAATCAAATGTCTAAAAAATTTGTACTTTCATATAAGATATATATATATAAAATGTTTTGTCACCTGTTTGCTGACTAAAAGGGTTAGCTCTGTAGGGTACATAACGTTGCCCGCGTACTTGTACAGCCTTCCGTGTGGTTCGTCCGTTGAAAACACATCCTTGCAAAAACAATTAATTAGTAACTTAAATAAATCATATATTACATTTTTGAGCACACTCTATATTTTGATTTTCACGACGGTACCGTTTTCAGGTAAAACTGATAGGGTTTAGATAGGCTGTGTTCACTTAAGGTATAGACACCAAAAGTTAATTTTGAATTATGTCTTATAAGTAAACTGTGAATTAGATATGAATGGAAAGGAATCAGAAGTAAAGCGTTATATAAACAACTTATATCAATGACAAAAATCAAAGGACAAGAAACATGAACCCTGCATATATATTTAACTGTCACTAGGTGATAAGGCGTGCTACGTTTTTGACATACCTGTTTAAACCTGGAGAGCTGTAGAACAAGTATTTGTGCTGGGCTTTCTATGATGAAGTGTTTAAATGTGATAGTGTCTGAAAAAAATGACCTAGACATTAGGATTAGTAGTTCATTCTGAATTCTGATCCGAAGAATAAAGCAAAGAATGAACACTTAACGTAAATTTGATAATGTATATCAGTATTACAAACACAAATATACTGTTACACTACAGTTCGCTACATACAGCTTCAGGTAAATCACATGTGCACAAATAACGAATTTAACAAACCAGTTTTATCTAGTGTAATGACCTATTAAAGACTTTATACTGCTCTTCATGTTCTGTATAGTTAAAATACAGGTACCGACAGTCTTTGATGAAAGACATTGTATGCCTTTTTATGTTATAGTGACACATAGGAACACGAGATAACCTTCATAGTGTTTCTCCTCTTTCAAACATGTCCTACATGGTACTTGGGCGTCGTGAAAGGCCACAGTCTCATCTAAAAGCTTGATACTCTCATTAACGGAACACTGAAAACAAAACGTTGTACTGATGTTTATTGTATTTCTAACGCTGTTGCAACTGATAAAGGACAATGTCTTGGTTTCGTCCCTCTTGTCTTTTATACCGGTTATATATAAAATTGTACAAAAGACACACAAGTTTATAGCACAATTGTATACAGATATCACAAATCTAACATGTTTACGTGATAGAAGTGAAAATATAAAGTTAACTTACATATTTGTCATCAACAGTCAAAAGCAGTGATCTAGTACACTCCGGCGGGCATTCTTCAACCTGTTAGTTGTAGGAATCATGGCATAGATAGATTGATAAATAAATAAGTAAATAAATAAATAGATGTGAACTTGTTGATATACAATAAATATAGATAACGAATGATTCTGGTGTTAACAGCATACGTAATAAGTATAGAACTCCGAAATACTCACGTGGTCGCACGTCGAATACCTGAATATTTGTCGCGCATGCGCGTCGAACAAGGATGTACATCCTGTAAAATACAACACGTCTGTGAAAATGAATGGTATCACGAAAATGATAATTGATCACGTGGTACATACCACGAAATCTTAATACTTGTGATACATTGAATTCTATGTCCTGTTCTTGGCCTTTAAAAGCTCATCGTCTCTCGCACTAAACCCTTACCTTCGATCTCTTCGTCCAATGCACTCAGCAAACTGAGGTATAAAGAGTGACAGTCATTTTGGTTTCCACTTTGGTAACATTCATCTCTACAAAATTATAAATGACACAAGGATGATGTCACTCTTGGTAACATTCATCTCTACAAAATTACAAATGACACAACAATGATGTCACTTGTGGTAACATTCATCTCTACAAAATTATAAATGACACAATGATGATGTCACTCTTGGTAATATTCATCTCTACAAAATTATAAATGACACAATGATGATGTCACTTAATCTAAACAGTTGTAGCATTGCCCACATTCTTTTTGTTTTAACACAGGAACGCATTGTCTGGTACCTATTTACCTTTTAGACATCGAGTTCTGTAGTTCGGACACAAGGTTATATAAATCCTCTTCTTTATAGCAACTATCATGTTGTATATCATTAATCTCCACAAACAGCTTGATTAAAGTCTCGGCCACGTGACAGTTCTGTTACCATGGCAACAAAAATTTGTACTCAAATTATGTTAAAAACAAACATATATGCAGTGAACATTTGATTAAATGGGATTGATATGTGCAATGTTTATGGATGACAGAGAAATACTTTAAAACGTAGAGTGTATTACAGGGCAAGTGACATGATATGTACAATGTATCATGCTACATATCCTACCTGTCTGGTTGTAAAAAGTTTGTCGATGAAACCAGGTGTCTGTGCCAAGACCTGTTCAACCGAAAAAGTCTGACATGAGAAGCTATGATACTAAGTATATCTTAACATTGGTATGCAATCTGTTACACGATAAGCGAAACTAGTCGCAGAATTGATACAAAAACTTTGACGGCTACATTTATTTCATATGTTGAAGAAAAGCGTAAGATGCTCAAATCATAATTGATAATATCCATGAAAACGGTATTTTGTAAAGCATCTTTCTATTTTCTATTTCTATTTTCTAAAGAATCATTTTGGAAGCGTATATCACAATAACTTACCTGAATCAATGATGAGATATAACAGGAACTTGCTTGTATATTGGGAAGGCCCTGTAGGAATGTTAAGGAAGGATACGCTAACGTATGCAGCATTGTGGGAGTTCACATAAGCCGGTTATTTTACAAAGGATACTTTGATCAGATTTCCATCGCTTTTGTCTGCATTACCGTTTAATTTCCTCGCATTGCTATTATTACCACTGGGTTCTTGTGAGCCTGAAACAAAAGAAGATAAATCATGCTAACGCACTCCCAAACGCACCACTATTCGTTAATATTTACATGCTCAGTGCAATAAAAAAAAATGTAAAGTAAACATTTAATTGCCTTAAATAACAGTAATTATTCATATATACAAGAAATTCCGAACCAAAAGACTGTATAAGCAGTGCTCGTCTCATACCTGTGTCAGCGGTGTCGTTTCCTTGGTCAACTTGCTGAATATTCTCCCAATAATCCTGTTGTGTAATTATTAATCTTGTTAATTTCATTAATTGTTTTTTTTTTAGAAATATTGATTTAGTGATTTTATTTATAGTGGCAAATAAGTCATCTGTGACATAGGTATGATCATGAATTGTGTTCAATTTAAGTTATTGCAAGCATATGCACAGTTAATGTAATAAACACCTAGATTAATTTTAAGAAATTTTTTATCTTAAGTGCTTTCAGATAGAATAACTTATGAGTAAGTCAACTGGAGTTATCTCCCATGTACATGTTCTACGTTCTAATGTAATAAGCTATCCTGATTGAGAAGTTACCGTATTTTGTTCATAATCTTTGCTCGAAGGATTGTCTTCTTTTGGTGAAGTTGATGTTTTTTTCACAAAAGGCTTCAAGTCTGAAGATATTTAAAGAATGTATTTATATTGTATCCACAGCTATGTAAAAATGGATACATGCACAAATCTCATAGTACTACTGATACAATAATACATTAGTATATATACGGAATTTTAGAAGAATTTTTATGATGTATTTCAGATAACATTATTTTAGTAATGTAGTAGTAAGATTGAATAAAACAATTAAGCATTGTACCTCTGTGATCTTGTTCCGTAGGAGTTCGTTCTTCTTTCTGTTTAAAATGAGTTGCACCAGAGTCCGATTCTTGCAGTGAAAGGAGACTTAATAACTATTATAAACAGGACAAGTACGTTTGAATAGATGATTAATTGTATAAATACATTTCATCATTTTTTTTAAATCAAGACAAAATCAACTGTCTTCGAAAAAGCACATCATATAAAATAAAATGAAAGTGACAGCTTTTCATTCAGAATAACATTTCCTCTTTGCTATCATATTGATTGTACGAAGCCTTGATAAAAATACCTGTTTGATATTTACCTTTTTATTTTCTCGATCCTCATTGTTTTGTGTCTGATCTTCTGCGCTAATTGATCCATTGTACACATCTATTGTTTCTGTTAGGAAGACATTTACGCAACAATCATGAAGCGGAGAATAAAAATTAAAAAAAAAAACAACCCACACTTAATACTTTTTAATCGTATGTATAAAAATTCCTTAAAACGATAGCTCATTATATTTTTCATCTGAATATAACAAAAACATTACCATTTTCAGGGTTTCCTCCGTTGCAATTTCCTGGATGTAACAACGGATTGGTGATTGCCCCTTGTAAGGAAGATTTGGTGTTATCCTCTCCTTGAAACGATGCCTTAATGTTGTCACTGTTCACGTCGGGTTTCGCATGTTTTTTCGTTGGTATGGATCCCTTTGAACACAGATTCAGGTATTAATGGGCGCTACGTAAATCGTGTTCTCTATAGGTATAGGGGAGACCGGGGCACAGTGAATCGGAAAAGTTGTTTTTGAATATTACTCCTTATCAAAAGGCAGAATTGATTGTCTTTTAAGTGCAAACGATAATGACCCATGGTCAGTGTTTAAACATGGCAAATATTACATGCCAACTTTGACAATTTTAAATATACAAGTGTTTGAATTTTTTAAAAAAGCTGATTCACTGTGCCCTGGCACCGGGGAACAGTGGACCATCACCTGGGGCACTGTGAATCAGACAGTGAAATCAGTGGATTTTTTTTCTCTAAAAAGGATAAAAAATTACAAACATAAATGTTTTGCAAACAGAATTATTTATTCAATAATTAAGAAAAACCAAATTCAGTCTAAATGCAGTAATTTAGACCCCAAAATTATCTAACCAATGACAACAACATGTGTGACTAGGTGTCTTCTAAAGTCACATGAGTAAAATTGCCACTAAAACATCGTAATTAAAGGAACTGTCTATCCATTGACAGCAACATGTGTGACTAGGTGTCTTCTAAAGTCACATGAGTAAAATTGCCATTAAAAAAACATCGTAAGTAAAGGAACTGTCTATCCATTGACAGCAACATGTGTGACTAGGTGTCTTCTAAAGTCACATGAGTAAAATTGCCATTAAAAAAACATCGTAAGTAAAGGAACTGTCTATTTATGAACAGCAACATGTGTGACTAAGTGTCTTTCAAAGTCGCATAAACAAATTGAAATGGGTAAACAAAAAGTAAGTCATCAAAACTGTCTATCCTTTTGTCCGGTGACAAGATGTTTGACTGGTTGTCTGATTTTTAAATTCATTTACCGAAGAAATTTTGAATATGCATAAAAATCCACTGGGAATATTAAATGACGGGCAACACGAGCAGTGCCACCATGCTGAAGAGGCTGTGGCAGCTTTCCAATGATATCAGTAAATGCAATATCAGATATGTCATCAACTGTTGGAAAGACAAATTTGTATGATGAGGAATTACGTCTCATAAACTTAATGTTAAAGGTTTTTTCACCAATATCATCAATGTCTCCATTGCAGCCTATTATTTGTCCTATATAAATAACTTTCGTCTTTTTGGTAAGAAATTGTACTATGACAAAATCCTCAGGGACGAGAGAATCAGCAGATTCGTCATATTCAAAGGAATCATCGTCATCGTCACAAATGTTTTTTTCGTTAACTTCCTCTTCTGAACTTGAATCACCTTGACTATCTTTCTGTTGAAATTCAAACCGTAATCCCTTTTTACCTTTTTTTGCTTTGTTTTGTCTCTCTTTGGTTTGCTTTCTTTTCTTTTCCTCGGCATCCTTTTTGATCTGATCTTTTACTGGTGTGTCCGTAAGAATTAGAGTTTTTCCTTTCTTTTGACCTCCTCTACCTTTCCTTGGTGGCGCCTTTGGAAAGGGACTTATTTCTTCTGGTAAAACAACTGCCTGTATTTTTTCTCTAGATATCCTATTTTCAGACGACATTGAACCAGAATCAGAACTGATTAAATTTGCTGCTAGAGTGTTGGCATGGGGAGAAGTCACAGGATCAACGTTGGCGGAAGCTGACGGAGCAAAATCAACGTTTGTCGAAATTGATGCAACAAGATCAGTGTTGGTAGATGTTGATGCAACAGGTTCAACATTTGTGGAAGTTGACACATTAGGGTTAACTGATGAGGAAGCTGAAACAACATGATCAACGATGGTTCCTTCAATGTCTTTCACGTTTTCAGTTATTGGCCTATCTGTTACGTATGAGCACATGAAATCTTCATCACTGAAGATGTTGGCGTCAAAAGGATGGATACCAGATACTTTGAATCCGGAATTGATATTCCTTGGAGTAAATGCCAGTGGGTAAGCTTTGCCGATAATCTGACTTACATTATGAATTGTGATTGGCTGGCCAGGATGACTTATCATAAAATCATTTGCTGCCTTGGTGTAGAGGCTCTTGAAAGGACCATACACAGAACGGTCTAGGGGCTGCATTTTGTGACTACAGTGAGGCGGAAGTGTTAACATAGTAACACCATTATCCTTGGCAAGGACAATTGTTTCAATTGATATATGAGATTCATGATTATCTAATATCAACAGAACAGGACGCTCTTTCGAGCATTTGGTTGCCTTAATAAAGTGTTGCATATATACAGTAAAGTTCTCTGAGGTCATCCATCCTGATGGATTTGCTACACCAACAGTTCCAGGCGGAGCTCCATATAGCATGGATTGTTTGAAATGCACACGAGGAAATACCAAGAATGGCGGTACTGAATTCCCAGCAGCATTTATTGTGCCAAGCATTGTTACTAATGTTCCTCTTTCTCCCGAAGTGATTTTGCCAACTTGTTTTTCACTTGTACAAGCAACTACTTTAGTGTTTCCAACTTTCTGAACGGTTGTGCACCCAGTTTCATCTGAATTGTATATGTCAGTTGGACTGAAATTATGTTCCTTCATTACTTTCTCCAGGTTATCAAAGAAGTCTTTTACATTTTTCTTGTTGAAACTTGTGGCACGCGATAAGCTGGTTGCTTCTGGACGACGTAAGGACAGGTTAGGATACCTTTTCATATACCCAGCAAACCAATCTTCACCAGCACGTCTGTTCTGCCTCCAAGACTCCGGAAATACTTTATCATTGCGATTTGCATATTCAAATGCTAATTCACGCACTTGCTGTCGTGTCAACCCATAGTGCATTTTAGAGGCTTTGATAAGATATTCCTGTAGAAGTATTTCTTCTTCTTCAGTAAAAACCTGACGGCAGCTGTAATTTGGTGAATATGACATAGATTCTCTGTTTCCATGTTCCCGTGCTCTCTGTACATAACGACGCAAGGTTGAAAAATGAATATCATATGACTTGCAGACATTTCTAATACTCCTTTGTTCTCCTATAACTTTCTGAACGGCCTCTTTCATTTTAGTACTGGTAGTCTTTCCAATTTTCCTATCCTCTTTATTTCTATTACGCACCATATTTTATGATGCTGAAAAAGAATATAATATGCAATTATACTAATTAACTTTTATCTGCATAGTAAGTGAAAAGTCAAAGTAATCAATGCCAAGAGTTGAGATAAAGAAAAAAACATTACTCGGGGCACACTGAATCACTATTCAAAGTGAGCCACTGTGCCCCGATTCACTGTGCCCCATATGGTCATATTTTAATCATGTGACCACCATCCTGACAAGGCTTAGTATCACATGGATAACACAACTTCGTCAACATCTCCAAACATCCATGTTACTAATGAAATATGATTGAGTGTCTATCAACTGACTATCAAGTGAGTATCTGAAAGGGATTGAGAGCACAAAAATTTACTTTTGGGGGTGTAAAACATACTTTACCTTGCAATTTTTTTTCTGGCTCCAGATAACTGATACTGCAAGACAATTTGGCAGGAACTCTTCAATACACATATACTGATGATGTCATCAGTCTATTAACACAAACCAAATTCTATAAATGATCAATGATTCACTGTGCCCCATGATTCACTGTGCCCCGGTCTCCCCTACATATCTTTTAACACTACGTATAGAGCAAATATTTACCAGGTATGTCATTTTCTTTGCTTTGGAACTAACATGAGTTTTTTTTTTTTTTTTTTTTTTAAAAAAAAAAGATTTCCAAACATCATTTTCAATTGAAATACTTTGTTTGAAATAATAATTCAGAGACCCTGCTTGTTTAGGTGTATTGTTGAAGATTTTTTCTTGTTTTTTGTTAAAATTAATGAATAACTAATGAATAAAAGGATAAAAACAGCATAAATGTATACTAAGAAAATAACAATAAATACTACGTGAAAAGTGCTGATGTAACAGAATAGATCTTCACTTTATTCCTCATATCATTCTTCACGATAGAACTTTTATCATCGCTTCCGATGTACGAGTTTTTAATGATATGAGGTTTTCAAAGTACAGTTTTCAGCACTTACCATGTTATTGAATCGATAAACTCTCCTCTAGAATATGTGTCGGCTATCTGAAATGAATTGAAGAGCGCTGATTCGTCACGTGTACCACTTGACAATATAATCTTTAATTTTATACATATATATGTAGCTGAACCAGATCGCCCATATATGGCATTAGCACACTGTCTATGGCGGCCAGACAAGCACACATTCATTATCCGCCGTAGTGGGTAATGATTTGTGTGCATGGAGGGCCGCCATAGGTAGTTTTTACTCTAAATTATCGACAGTTCTAATCAGTTTCCACTTTTCAAAAACTTCATTCGATGCATTATCATGCATATTTATTACTAACATTAGATGTTGGATTTTTACCTTGTTCCTTACGTTTGTACAAATGTCTACTCCAAATTCAAACATAGCAATTCTTATCTATATTCTTTTGGCTATTGCTGGGGATATCCATCCCAATCCCGGTCCTAAATCAAACAACAGTTCCATCATCCACTCATTAAATATTCTGCACTTAAATATCAGAAGCTTGAGAAACAAACTTGATTATATCCAAACACTGACTGATGACATAGATGTCCTTTGTCTGACAGAAACACATCTTGATAATACTGTTTCTAATTATCAAATTATAATAGATGGTTTTTGTAAGGAACCCTTTAGAAAAGATAGAAATATGTTTGGAGGTGGTGTAATAATGTACTATTCTTCTTCTTTAGTTGCAAAACGTCTAATTGATCTTGAATGTCTTAACGATGAAATTATATGGGCTCAATTTGTTTTTAAAGGTAAAATTTTTGTTATTGGTAATTTATATAGACCTCCTAATACAAGTAACTTGAACGGGCTGTGGCAACGTATAAATTTCTCTCTTGATCGGGCTTTTGAACTCACAAATAATGTTATTCTATTGGGAGATCTTAATATAGACTTTCTTAAACCTCTCCGAGGTGAACCTTCTACCATATTTACATCTTACAACTTAAAAAATATTATTACAGAACCTACCAGAGTCACGGCTGAATCTTCTTCTTTATTGGATCCAATTTTAATTAGTGACAGCGTGAATATTCTCTACTCGGAGGTTATAACTATCGATAGATCTATTAGTGATCATGATGCTGTCTTTGTTATTATTGATGTACCTAATATTATAAACAAAGTGGTCAAAAGAAAGGTCTGGTTATATAATAGAACTGACACTGACGGACTTAGGAAATTTATTTCTGATATTCCATGGAATCACGCTTTGAATGAGTTAAATGATGTAAATGATATGTGCGAATTTTTAACTACCAATATTTTAATTGCTGCAAACACCTGTATTCCTTTTAAGGAAGTTCAATTACGTACTCATGATAAACCCTGGATGAACAACTCTGTACGTCATCAAATTAGAATAAGGGATAGATTAAAAAAACAATATATTCGAAGAGGTAGTAACTTTAATAAGAACAAATATAAAACTGCAAGAAATAAGGCTAATAATATGATTAAACGGGCCAAAGAATTTTTTTATGAAAATATTGATACTATTATCGATAAAAGTAAATCTGAACCTAAAACTTATTGGAAACTCTTGCGTCTATTGATGAAAGGAAAGAAAAATGTTGAAATACCCCCACTCTACGATGAAAAATCACATGAATATATTTTTAATGACAAAGACAAGTGTGAACTCTTAAACAACTTTTTTTCTTCCATATCTTCACTTTCTGATAATGATAAGTCTGTACCTCACTTCAAGAAAAGAACTAATTCTACTCTTTCTGATCTCATTATTTCACAAAATGAAATTGAAGATGTAATTCACTCATTAAATGTAAATAAAGCTTCAGGTCCAGATGGGATTAGTCATAAAATGTTGAAATTTATTTCCAAAGAAATTTCCTTACCCCTTTCTATTATTTTTAATTTTTCTCTTTCCAAAGGCTCATATCCCGATAAATGGAAATTTGCTAGTGTAATGCCTATCTTCAAATCGGGTGATCACAACAAAGTGTCAAATTACAGACCCATATCTCTTCTTAGCTGTATCGGTAAACTTTTTGAACGTGTGATATACAAACACATATATAACTTCCTTTTTGACAACAGTCTTGTCTACAAATTCCAGTCAGGTTTCTTGCCAAATCATTCTTGCACGCATCAACTTATCGAGTTGTATCATACCCTCCAACTTAGTTTAGAAAATTATGAGCATACTGCATTTGTCTTTTGTGATTTTTCTAAGGCATTCGACAGGGTTTGGCATATTGGTCTTCTTTATAAATTAGAAAAACATGGAATTAATGGTAAACTTCTTCAATGGCTTTCAAGTTATCTTTCCAATAGAACCCAATCTGTCTTTATAAATGATTCTCGCTCTACTGTTATGAATACCTCTGCAGGAGTTCCTCAAGGTTCTGTTCTAGGGCCTCTACTTTTTCTAATCTATATAAATGATATCTACACAGAACTTACATCTTTATCACGCTTGTTTGCAGATGACACATCACTCTCCTACTCTTCTCGTAATATAGCAGACATAGAAATAGCAGTTAATAGTGATCTGAGAAAATTAGAAAAATGGTCGAAAGATTGGCTAATGTCTTTTAATCCACACAAAACAGAAATAATGATAATATCTAACACACGACCTGATCACCAACCACAATTTATTTTTAACAATACTTATATAGAACTTACAGATCATCACAAACATTTAGGAGTCATACTGAGTAATGATGGATCATGGAATAAACACGTAGAAGAAGTTATTAAAAAGGTATCTAAATATATAGCAACTTTACGTAGGTTAAAATTAATTCTAAACAGGCACACTTTAGAAAAAATGTATCTCACATACATAAGGCCATTATTAGAATACGCCTGTGAAGTTTGGGATAATTGTGGAGTTAATATGTCATCAAATATTGAAAAAATTCAATTAGAGGCAGCCCGAATTGTGACTGGTTTACCCATTTATACTAGATCTGACTTTCTACTAAATGAAACGGGCTGGGAAGAACTTAAATTACGACGTCAACATCGCAAGTTATCTCTTTTTTATAATATAATTAATGGGATCGCACCATCTTTCCTCACTGACTTTATCCCTGAACATATTGGTAATCTCACTAGGTATCACTTACGAAATGCAGATCAGTTACGACAACCAACTTATCGTCTTCAATCTATGTGTAACTCTTTTTTTCCTTCTACAACTGAACTCTGGAATAGATTAGATGAATCTTTAAAAACGGCTGGTTCACTAAAATTGTTTAAAACCAAACTACGTCCAAAAAACTCCAACAAGCTTAAATCGTGTTTCCTATCATATGGCCCCCGTCAACTGAATATTCTTCATTGTCGTTTAAGAAATAGGGCAAGCTCACTCAACTATGACCTATTCAGAGCCAATCTCATGAACTCAGCATCTTGCTCCTGCGGACATCCCTCTGAAGATTCCTTTCATTATTTAATTCATTGTTCGAACTACATTCAAATTCGTAACACCCTGTTCACCGAACTGTCGTGGTATCAGGGTGATATCTCGATAGATGTACTTTTAAATGGAGACGTACGACTAAGTTCAGCTGAAAACTCACTTTTAGCTAGAGCTGTTCAAAAATTTATTGATGCCTCTGGGCGATTTGGCTAGTTTCTGCATTTCTTCCTTTGTACTATATATTCCCTTTTTCCTTCCTCACCTATCCTCCTTTCTTCTTTACATCCTTCTTTTTTTTTGTTTCAATGAAAAATATTATGATTCAATATATTGTTACATTGCTTGTAGTTAAGTATTGTTTTACCATCCATGTGATGGAGAGGGCTTAATAAGTTGGAAAAACTTGTGCCCAATCCAATTGTACAAAGTTTTGCAATAAAATAATTATTAAATCAAAAAATCTCAAGGTTTGTCAAAGTTCCTTGAAATGAAAATATTCCTTCAAACAAAGCGCGTACAAAACCCCCCCAAAATATTTATGTTTATAATTATCAATTAACTAGAACGAAATATTTCCATAACATATTTATTCATTTAGCGTGTCATGGTGACATTATCTAATGCATTGGAAATCAGAAATAGTAGTAGCTATAGTGAAAATATTGTAAATTTTGTATATATATGGAAGTCTGGTTTAATCTCATAGAACTATGTCTTTATAGACATAATTACTGGATGAAAAGTCTAACCATGATACTTCAAGGAAGATAGGCATGTAAATACATTTAATGTAATTACTTACACTTTAATCTACCTGAAATGCTGTGTACACCTTATATACTTTCCTCAACTAACAATATAATTATGATAAGTAAGGACTATTACTTTGCAATACATTTAAAATAGAGAAGTAGGTATAAAGTCCTTTCGATTTGTCTAAATCCTCATATTGATAGGATAGTAATTGCAACATTTTGGATATTTCAAAGGTTTTATTTAGTCAACTTCATCATAGAGCTATTTATCATTTGGCTTGTTGGCGATAAATATATGGTTGTGTGCATTTTTTAACCTATTTTGATTTGTTCACATTATTGTCGTCAAATTTGAAATAAGAATTAAAGAAGATATAAAATCGCTTAAAATTAAGAAAAATAGCCTCTGGTTCTCTTATTTTTTTTTAATTTTTGGATTCTAAAGTGTAGGAGTATGGGGAAAGTAATATAGCTTAGCGGTTATTTGTGAACATTTTTCAAAACGTTTAGCCTTTCAGTACTTTCAGTACTTTGATTATATATTGGTTAGGCGGATAAACTCGATGTACGCTGTTCAGTGTACAATCAATAAATACCTTGTATTGGTAAAAACGAGTGAAAAGGCACATTTTAATTAATTATGAACTCTTCACGGGTTGTTTAACAATCGTTTTGTAACACTGTATACAGCGGGATTTGTTTGACCAAAGTTTTTTTAATTATGTCTCCACAAATATGTGCACTGTTGTGATATTTGGAGCGTTCTATAGACTAAACAAAGGGGTTTAAAATATTTGTCTTTATTTTCCATATGCCCCTCTCCGCGCTCCCTCAGAATCCCTTGTAGAGAGGCTGGAGGTCCTCAGATCGGACCCAAAAATAAAAGCAAAATCTTAAAGGGGCTATTTCGTCCAGTTTGATTTTTTTTTTTCTAATTACAAATTCATCCGTAAAAATGTAGTTCTATAATCCGTATGAACTATCCGCGCCGACATATTGATACAAGCGCGTCTTCCATCGGGATATATATGGGAAATCCTAATCGTCTGTACAGACACGATAAAATGCAAATGAGCAAGCCGCCTATGCGCACTTTGACCTTTGAGTATGCGCAAACGCGTCTGAAAAAACTAAAAAAAAATGACTTCCCAACCGAAGCGTGTTCGCGGCAAACGGGTCATGTCATCGCACAAAAACGTAGAAAAGGCTGGTGACAGAAAGCTCACCCTCGAATAACAATAGGAGAGCAGTACGAGAGGTGGGACAAGTTTCCAAAGTAATAAAGAAGTTGCGAAGACTCTCCTAGACTTGGTAAGTGATAAGTCATCATCGCTGGTGATAATTTTGTATCTCAGACCGTGTTTGGCAGATTGAAATCACCAAATAACAATTCACCGTGAATTTTAGTAACTTTTATATGTTTAACAAAAGTTTACCACGCAATTTCTTTCATAATTTCCTTACGAAAGGAGTTAACGTGAAATCAGACTCACCGTTTCGTCACTTGATGCCTCCATATCGCGTGTATTTGTTTACAAACAGTCTTCTTCCCGCCAGAGGGCGCAGCGTTTATATATTTGGATTATCGCTATTATGTTGAGATTTGTTAGCACATATGTTTTCATTTCCAACTGAATAGAAAAAACGTTGCTTGACTAAATAGCCCATTTAAACGAATGAAGTAACAAGAGGCCCAATAGGCCTACATCGATAATCTGGTAGCCAATGCTTTTCACTGAAATGTTTACTTCTTTGATCATTAGCATCCAAATTGTCGGGTAATGAGAGGTCCTTTGTTTTTGTTTTCGACTTCGACAAACTATCTTACCAGATTTGACATGTATTTTTTATGTTCACTCATCCATGTTTAGTTTATAGCGAACGCTTTATGGTATTGTGTGTGTGGTAGTCAACGCCAACAAACTACCCATACGATCAATTTTAAACGGAAGTGTGGCTGGAACTTCATTACCCACAATACACTTACCGCATCACGCAATGAAAACTGCCGACCTGTTGAATGAATTAAAATATCTTTTTAAGCTTTCTTATGAAAGTGAAATCATACTAAAAGTCTTAAATGATTCAAATGAATTAAACAAATATATACTTTAATGGTTTTAAACGCATATAACGAATATCTGGTTGAAAAATTACAATTTAAACCATTCAAGATATGAGCACGATTGTACACTGATGTACCTGATTTCCGGTTTAACGTTCGGGAACTTTCGTAACTTTCCGTAAGACATCGTCTCCTAGACGGAAGCAGCCGAAAGGTCCCGATTTGGCGAAAAACCTGTCCCGTCTCCTAACTATATTAATTCTTGAAGATGTGGATATTCTTTCGATAACTGTTTGAAATTAATTATGATGAAGTATTTGAATGTTTAGAAATTTTCCAGCAGACACTTTTAAGGCACGATGATAAGATAACTATTAGTGATGAGTTTTGTTGTTGTTTTTTTTTCATCAGAAAAATGCATTTTATGTAACATATTGTGACTTTTGAATTTTATTTCAACATATATATTTATATTAATTTTCTGAAATACAATTTATAACACAATAGTCTCAACAGTGTTTATAACTTTACCCTCTTTTTGCTATCAAGACAAGTCAACATTGCTTAAAGAACTGAAGGTTCAAAGCATTTTATGATTTGTTAATTAACAGATCGAAAACTTCAATAGAAAAGAGAAAAGAAAATGGTGGTAGAGAACATTCTGATGTTAATAATGAAAACTTGTTAAACATATAACCACCGCCTTTACATATCCGACTAAAACTTTATTGTCTCTCACCATATTTTGACTACAAACTCCTTTCTTTTTTAAAGCAAAGACTATAGATAGTCCTCTCTGCAATATCTGTAACTCTGAAAGGGAAACTCTTGTACATTAATTTTGAAGACTTTTTTTTTATCAATTTTTATAGTCTAGATATGTTGTCAAAGTCTTTATTAATACATTTACTGTTACCATTGAAACCGATGATCCTCATCACAAATTTCAGATTTTCTGGGCCAATGTTCCGAAACCATTCAAGATAATTGCCCAAAATGTTTTTTTCTTATTAGGCTAGTAGTATATTTTGCTATGAGGGACGCTTCCCATTTAGATACTTGGCCTGTTACCATGGAAACAGATCGGCCAAATTACAAAGTTCAGTTTTTTTCAGACAGTTCCCTTAAACCATTTAAGGTAATAACCCGTTACTCAAAACAGACATCAAACTAGTACTCAAGCAGAAGTTCTCAAATTCAATACTTTGTATGGAATAATTAGTATGGTATAATCATGTGTGCATGACTTATTTACATATGGAAACTTTATAATTTCAATTATATAAATCACGCTTTTTGTAAGCATGCGAAGGGTCTAACTTTGGGAGGAAACCTGTATCTCTTCGGGGAATCGAACCCCGAACAGCTTGGTGAAAGACAAGTGTGTTACAACTGTGCCACCAAACCACCGCCTGATCATGATGATACATTGTTTTCTAGAAGAAGAGGTGATGATGATGATGACGATGACGATGACGATGACGACGATGACGATGACGACGACGATGATGATGATATATTGATACATTTATATATTTATATGTGTCAATGTTTTGTTAAAATCTTGCAAAATATACCATTTTAAAACACGCTTCATTGCAGACATGGATCAGGCTGTGCGTCATGACCAACTCGCGCTCGCTTTTAGGCAGTGCCTATTTCCTATTAGATTAAATAGAATGGTAACTTGCTGTCTCAGAGTTTTAAAAACAGTGCTCGGATTTCATTTGTAAGTTCCACTTTTTCATTAATTCTGCTTGTTGCATTTTATAACATCTAGTGTAAATTGAAATAACCTTTGACTCGGTATCGTTAACCTTCCCGATGATGGAATTTCAGTTTAACTATTCCTGGCTATTGTTAGAGGGGACACCGGATATTTATTGTCTTTCTTCGAGTGAAAGAATGTTTTTTTTGTTTTGTGTTTTTTTGTTAGAAATTTCATAAAAAGCTCCACCTAAGTCACTTTTCAGTTGTGGCTGTAAAATTTCAGTGGGATCAATTTGGTAGTCATGTGCATAAGATATGTTGTTCTTAAGTTTCACGTTTAAGTTTCTCGTGCTCAAATATGTCGCGTCAGTAATGTTCTGTAGCGAAACTACAAAAAAGGTGTAAATCTATGCGAGTTACTTCCCTTCTACTGTCAAATTTAATGATATTTCCCGCGTTATATCACAATCATACCTCCATTTGAAGAGTTATGTAACCAAGGTAACGTTCGCGTATGGAACTATTTTCTTTGTATATGATATTATCATTTAAATGTTTACTTCTTGTTAGTCAATCTTTTTGGAATAAACTCTCATGCTGTGTAGTGTACTGATGATGTTGACATTGTTTGATTGTTTCTTTACGCCGATTATTAGTTTAAATTCAGATGTATATGGTCTTCGTACGTACATCCGGTAATGCGTTATTTGGTGTAAACAAATGGAGGTTGGTTGAGTCGGAACGAAGATGGCAGAAAGGAAATACGATCTTGCCCTTGTCAATACACTAACAGACAAAAAAGTTCGACTGCATCCGTGGTAAATATGACACAATCGTGTTTATACACACATTTGTGTTTAGAATGAATGTATATCACTGTTTATAATGATCTCTTTAATTCCATAAACACCTTCCAAAATCTTCTGTATGTTGCAACCGTTTTCACCGCAATTATCTTGTGACCGAGGATTAAAAATTAGCTATTGGAAAGAATGTCAGTTTTTGTTCTTTCAAAAAATAGACCACGTTTCCTTTAAAAGCTGTTTTTGTCATTTGCGGCGGACGAATTGAGAACAAGTAGGAGGTCAGATCAGCACGGTAAAAATGTTGCTTAATCTGTCGACCTGTACGGACGACGTTTATCACTCTGCTGACGGATCATGCCTTTTTTGCACGGTTGTTTGTGCCCTGGACTGTCAAACCGAAGACCCCTGCTTATTGCTTGCTATTTTTACATATGTGCATGACAATGTACAGTTACAGAAGGTTGTGTTTTTGCTACACGTATTTCTACTTCAGAAATGAAAATCAAATTTCTTTCATTGATCATTGAAGTCATGTGTTCATTACCAACAACTAACATAGCATTCTGCAGTATATAACTCTATTATCATAACTCCAACAATGTTGGAGGTTCAAGTTGATCAGAAACTTTTTACAGAGACTGTACGACTCATCAATGCAATTAGACTAATACTTTTTTTACATATACACACATATATATAGAGCATCATTTGTTAATACAAATACACATATTGTATATCGGGTCGACTGATTAGACAAGTAAAATGCTTTGATTAAAAGCTGACATATTCAAAACTGGAACAGTTAGTTGTCATTATAATTTTGTATACTCTATAGAACTTGAATAATCAGCCTTGAGGGGATGTGGTGGTCTAGTCAAGTAATGCATGGTGGAATAGGTCACATTTCTTTTATAACCATCAAATGTACATAGCTGCATATTTGTTTGAATCTAATTTTATTTTCTAGTTGACCTCCCTAATATTGAAAGTTAATCATACTGCAGGAGGCATAGGTTTGGTATATTGCTTAGTGTCCTTATGATGTGTTTTTGTAAGCCTTACTGTGATATAGCAGAACTGAAATGAATGTATAAGGATGCTTTACTGAAGCAGGACACCATTGGTACCATTATACTGACAATGGGCATAACGTCATATTGCTATAAATAAATATTAATCTCTGATGTAGGTATAAGGAAAGATTACAGACAAAACACATCAAATCTTTAAAACCTGCTGATACTTCAAAATGTTTGATGGGAAAAGATTGGCTGTTTCTGAAGGATGGTTTGGATGACTTCAGGGATGGCCTGCCACCACCAGTTCAAGGAGATGTTTTCATCAAGGTATGGAACATAACAGTATTTATCAAGTAATATGTCCATGTCTGGTATCACGCCTACCCATATCTACTGGTGTTTAGTAGAATTATTACTGTATTTTTCCAGTAATAAGTCCATGTCTGGTAATAAACCCACCCTTATCTACTGATGTTTAGTATAATTGTTACTGTATTTTTCCAGTAATAAGTCTATGTCTGGTAATAAGCCCACCAATATCAATTACTGTTGAATAGAATAATTACTGTATTCATCCACAAATAAGTCCATGTCTGGTAATAAACCCACCCTTATCTACTGATGTTTAGTATAATTGTTGCTGTATTTATCCAGTAATAAGTCTATGTCTGGTAATAAGCCCACCAATATCAATTACTGTTGAATAGAATAATAACTGTATTTATCTTCTAATAAGTCCGTGTCTGGTGATAAGCTAACCTATGCATATTGCAAAAACTAAATTTGCATTCATACTCCTATGAATAAGTTGCAATACATTGCAAAATTTTGTCTCGACATCCATTTTGAATGATATATATAAACAAATCTAACCAATGATTTGTTTTGTTGTTTTTAGGGAAGTAAAGGTCCAGGACCAAATGTCAAACATAGCAGTGAGAATGCTAAGGTAGTAAAACAGCCAGCTGTGAGGAACAGATTCAGTAAACACCAGATCTGTTACTCACGACTGACTCCCCTTCAACAGCAGCGGAGGGATCATATTGATGAAATAGAGTATGGTCTAACCCAGCACCCCCTGGCTCTGTACCCACATCTAGAGGAGAGTGTTAACCCTGAGGTATGTAACCTTCAAAAAATAAATTTATTGACTTCTGCTCATTGCTGTGTGGAAGTAAATTTAAAGAGACTTCACTTTTTCTTTTTTTTTTTTTAGATTACCAGCTTACTAACACGTGTACTAAACCCACTTTTTTTTAAAATGTGATTTACTTTCACAAATTTTGTTATTGAATCTCAGTCACTCTTACTATTTATATAATTTTAAATTTTCAGCTTTTTGAGGATATTGTGGACATCCTTGACCCTGAGATGAACTTAGACTCCGAAGTTGGTTCATTAGAGGACTTTGATGATGAGGAGGAAAGTAAAACTCCGAAATCAGATGAGGATGGGGATAAGGAATCAGAGATAGACTTAGATAAAGCACATGAGTAAGTAGCTAAAACGGATTAGAAATAATGTAGTGTCATGTGTATTTTCAAAACCTTGAAAGGGAAAAGGTTGACCATCAAAATCATAAAATTGGCCATGAATTTTTCTGTTAATTTAATTTTTTAGGTATCTCAATATTTTCTTCTTCTATAGAAATCTCAGGAAAATAAGAAACGTTTCAGTATTCAGTATTTAGGGTAAGCTATCCAAGGTCACATTTGATAATCCAAGTTATCTTTTTTACATGTAGCAAGATGAAGAAATGGTTGTGTACAATAGTCCTTTATCTGAAATGAATTGTAAGGGGGATATTTTACAAGTGATGATATTTATATGTCATATAACGATCATATAATTGTAAAAACCTACATCATGGACATTTTATTTTAGCATTTTTCCCACTGAAAGTATTGCAATAGAATAAGATAGTGTTATTTGCGATATAAAAAAATCCTGTTTGTTGTTTATGTAGCTATAATTGTGGATGTGCTAATTTGAAAAAAAAAATGAACAATGTAATTGCACAATGTTACATATGTTAACAGTAAAACAAACAGTGGGATAAAATTCCAGGCATCAATTTACATGGATGAGTCGTCAAATAGATATTTTCTTTCTCAGGTTTGTTTATTTTGTATAGAAGAGATTTAAATAAAAAGTTTTATGTTTCTTAATAAAGGCCTGAACCGCCAGTGCTTAAACTTAAACCAAGGCCTAAACCTATACTTAGGTACAGAAAGGTCAAAATGAGGTGAGAGGTCACAGCAGTGGACAAACCACTCATACATATTGTCTAGTATTGTGTCACCAAGGTTCAAGGTCACAACACACAGAATTTCTTTTGATATAGTCATATTTTCTGGTAGTACGATGAACATTTACCATTTACTTTTCTTAGTGAGCCAGTTTGTCCCCTTGAAACAGGAATACAATAGCTTATGGAAAATTGATAACCATTTCAGATGGAGATCTAACAGAGTTTCTCTATTTCCATGAAAGTTGTCAAAAAGAAAAAAAACTTCAATAATTACCAAATCATAAACAGTATAAGGTACTTTGTATTTGAGACAATTCTATTTGAAAATTTCATTTAACTTTACCACAGTGCTAAATGACTGTTGTCTGGTCATACTTTGGTACTTAAGTCAACTCTGGTTAGCCTCTGGTGACTCCATCATCTCTGTTCAGTTTCTGACGACTTAATCATCTCTGGTCAGTCTCTGACGACTCAATCATCTCTGGTCAGTCTCTGGTGACTCAATCATCTCTGTTCAGTCTCTGACGACTCAATCATCTCTGGTCAGTCTCTGGTGACTCAATCATCTCTGGTCAGTCTCTGGTGACTCAATCATCTCTGGTCAGTCTCTGGTGACTCAATCATCTCTGGTCAGTCTCTGGTGACTCAATCATCTCTGGTCAGTCTCTGGTGACTCAATCATCTCTAGTCAGTCTCTGGTGACTCATACATCTCTGGCCTTACTTTGGTAACTCAGTCAACTCTGGTCAGTGGTGACTCGATCATCTCTAGTTAGACACAATTGACTCCATTGACTCAAATTTCTATGGTAGCTCTCAAGTGACTTGATAGTTTATGTTGAAGTTCATTAACGCTCTAGTACTCCAAATGGTGTTTATCCCACAGAAAAAAAATTCAAATAGGAGTTTCCAAAATCTGATTTTATTCTTCCTTGGTATAACGCATATCAAAGTCCTTGCTACAAATGACACAACTCTTGATGGGAAGTCCGTTGTTGTTGTTTATTGTTTGTATGATGTCACTTTCATATCTTGTATTAGACATGATAGTTTCAGATGTTTATGGATGTTAGTTCACTTTGTCATTATCAATGTTTTACAATTTTACATGTTTTATCATATGTATTTCTTTGTACATCAATGTTGTCTTATTATTTTGAGTTGAGTTGACTTTAAGGATTATGTAAATGATGTTCCCACATTGTAAATTTGCACATTATATTGTCAAATTAGAATTCATATCAACAGTTACACAATGGGCAGTGCAACCTGTCCAGAAAGATTGTCCTTTGTTGAAAGGTGTCCTGTGTATAGAGGTTGAAAGTTTTACATTATTACATAATTTTTGCTCTGTGAACTTAATTTTTGAAAGTCTATTCAAACAAAAAGGGAAAAGATAAAAACATGTTGAAAATTTTATTCTGTTAAAATATATATGTACACCTACATTACATGTATATACCCTTTAAAAACATTTCAAACAGCAACATTTTCTTTTATGCATGATTGAAAATTTGGGGCATTCATGAAAATAGATATTCAAAGAAGAAGATATTGTAAATTTTGTCATACTGTGCATGCCAAACAAAAAAAAGGAATTAAGACTGTAAACTTTCAGATTTTGTAAATCTGTCTTTTTCAGTTTAAAAAAAAAATCTAATTTATCTGCCTATCAATGTGTATTTATATCTAATAATGGTCAAGACTGAACAATCAAATAATAATTAGTCCTCTTCTGTGTGGGTCACAGTAAAGTATATAGTGTAACCTAGTGTGTGGTAGTGTGTGGTTGAGGTGGAGATTGTCTGAAGTCACACTAAAGTATATAGTGTAACCTAGTGTGTGGTAGGAGGTGGAAATTGTCTGAAGTCACACTAAAGTATATAGTGTAACCTAGTGTGTGGTAGGAGGTGGAGATGGTCTGAAGTCACACTAAAGTATATAGTGTAACATAGTGTGTGGTAGGAGGTGGAGATGGTCTGAAGTCACACTAAATTATATAGTGTAACATAGTGTGTGGTAGGAGGTGGAGATGGTCTGAAGTCACACTAAAGTATATAGTGTAACCTAGTGTGTGGTAGGAGGTGGAGATGGTCTGAAGTCACACTAAAGTATATAGTGTAACCTAGTGTGTGGTAGGAGGTGGAGATGGTCTGAAGTCACAGTAAAGTATATAGTGTAACAAGTATATAGTGTAACCTAGTGTGTGGTAGGAGGTGGAGATGACCTCAAGTCACACTAAAGTATATAGTGTAACCTAGTGTGTGGTAGGAGGTGGAGATGGTCTGAAGTCACACTAAAGTATATAGTGTAACCTAGTGTGTGGTAGGAGTGTAACCTAGTGTGTGGTAGGAGGTGGAGATGGTCTGAAGTCACACTAAAGTATATAGTGTAACCTAGTGTGTGGTAGGAGGTGGAGATGGTCTGAAGTCACACTAAAGTATATAGTGTAACCTAGTGTGTGGTAGGAGGTGGAGATGGTCTGAAGTCACACTAAAGTATATAGTGTAACCTAGTGTGTGGTAGGAGGTGGAGATGGTCTGAAGTCACACTAAAGTATATAGTGTAACCTAGTGTGTGGTAGGAGGTGGAGATGGTCTGAAGTCACACTAAAGTATATAGTGTAACCTAGTGTGTGGTAGGAGGTGGAGATGGTCTGAAGTCACAGTAAAGTATATAGTGTAACCTAGTGTGTGGTAGGAGTTGGAGATGGTCTGAAGTCACACTAAAGTATATAGTGTAACCTAGTGTGTGGTAGGAGGTATAGATAATCTGAAGTCACACTAAAGTATATAGTGTAACCTAGTGTGTGGTAGGAGGTGGAGATGGTCTGATGTCAAACTAAAGTATATAGTGTAACCTAGTGTGTGGTAGGAGGTGGAGATGGTCTGAAGTCACACTAAAGTATATAGTGTAACCTAGTGTGTGGTAGGAGGTGGAGATGGTCTGAAGTCACACTAAAGTATAGTTTTACCTAGTGTGTGGTAGGAGGTGGAGATGGTCTGAAGACACACTAAAGTATACAGTGTAACCTAGTGTGTGGTAGGAGGTGGAGATGGTCTGAAGTCACACTAAAGTATATAGTGTAACCTAGTGTGTGGTAGGAGGTGGAGATGGTCTGAAGTCACACTAAAGTATATAGTGTAACCTAGTGTGTGGTAGGAGGTGGAGATGGTCTGAAGTCACACTAAAGTATACAGTGTAACCTAGTGTGTGGTAGGAGGTGGGGATGGTCTGAAGTTACAATAAAGTATATAGTCTGAAGTCACACTAAAGTACACAGTGTAAGCAAGTGTGTGGTAGGAGGTGGAGATGGTCTGAAGTCACACTCAAGTATATAGTGTAACCTAGTGTGTGGTAGAAGGTGAAGATGGTCTGAAGTCACACTAAAGTATATAGTGTAACCTAGTGTGTGGTAGGAGGTGGAGATGGTCTGAAGTCACACTAAAGTATATAGTGTAACCTAGTGTGTGGTAGGAGGTGGAGATGGTCTGAAGTCACACTAAAGTATATAGTGTAACCTAGTGTGTGGTAGGAGGTGGAGATGGTCTGAAGTCACACTAAAGTATATAGTGTAACCTAGTGTGTGGTAGGAGGTGGAGATGGTCTGAAGTCACACTAAAGTATATAGTGTAACCTAGTGTGTGGTAGGAGGTGGAGATGGTCTGAAGTCACACTAAAGTATATAGTGTAACCTAGTGTGTGGTAGGAGGTGGAAATGGTCTGAAGTCACACTAAAGTATACAGTGTAACCTAGTGTGTGGTAGGAGGTGGAGATGATCTGAAGTCTGAAGTCACACTAAAGTATATAGTGTAACCTAGTGTGTGGTAGGAGGTGGAGATGGTCTGAAGTCACATTAAAGTATATAGTGTAACCTAGTGTGTGGTAGGAGGTGGAGATGGTCTGAAGTCACAGTAAAGTATATAGTGTAACCTAGTGTGTGGTAGGAGGTGGAGATGGTCTGAAGTCACACTAAAGTATATAGTGTAACCTAGTGTGTGGTAGGAGGTGGAGATGGTCTGAAGTCACACTAAAGTATATAGTGTAACCTAGTGTGTGGTAGGAGGTGGAGATGGTCTGAAGTCACACTAAAGTATATAGTGTAACCTAGTGTGTGGTAGGAGGTGGAGATGGTCTGAAGTCACACTAAAGTATATAGTGTAACCTAGTGTGTGGTAGGAGGTGGAGATGGTCTGAAGTCACACTAAAGTATATAGTGTAACCTAGTGTGTGGTAGGAGGTGGAGATGGTGTGAAGTCACACTAAAGTATATAGTGTAACCTAGTGTGTGGTAGGAGGTGGAGATGGTCTGAAGTCACAGTTAAACATATAGTGTAATCTAGTGTGGTAGGAGGTGCAGATGGTCTGAAGTCACAGTAAAGTATATAGTGTAACCTAGTGTGTGGTAGGAGGTGGAGATGGTCTGAAGTCACAGTAAAGTATATAGTGTAACCTAGTGTGTGGTAGGAGGTGGAGATGGTCTGAAGTCACAGTAAAGTATATAGTGTAATCTAGTGTGGTAGGAGGTGCAGATGGTCTGAATTCATAGTAAAGTATACAGTGTAACCTAGTGTGTGGTAGGAGGTGGAGATGATCTGAAGTCACAGCAAAGTATATCTTGATCATTACTTAAATATTACTTTAACTTTGATATCACAGGACGGAAGAGAATGTTGTACGGAATCCATACAGATGGCTTCCTCGCAAGGAGGAAAAGGAAAAGAAAGATAAGAAGAAATCATCAGATCGTGGTGGACCTGGGTCTCCTTCTAGAGTAAGTGTCTTAAAAGTCATGTCACCACTTTATAGAACAAAGTCGCACCTGTCTACAAAGGTCACTTAAAGGAGTGAAGAAAAGTGGCCTTTATAGACAGATGGCCCTTACAAAGAGGTTCAATTAATATGAATTATTACAATTGGCCTTAACAGACAGATACTTGTTACATTGTTACTTGTTGCCTTCAATCCAGGTTTAACTGTAAATCTCACAATGCTGTTAAACATACACAGGATATGTATTATTTAATACATTTTACTTAGAAACCAATAAGAAACAATATAAGGTTACTAAAGTTTGTACAAAGATATTTATATATAAAGATAAAACTTCATAGAACACCATGTTTTTGGAATTTTGGGTAAATATATTCCTTAACTTCTTGTTTTGGTTGGAGTTATCTCCCTTACTGCTTAATTTCAGTTGTCAGTGTTATAATTTTCTTATCAATTAATAATGAACTTTTCCAAATTATATAGATTACTGTAAAGATGTTTTTGATGTTAACCTCTTTCAGAAAATTTCCTTTTTCTTGAAAGTAATAAGTGTTCACTTTGAAATGTGTAAAAAAAATTAGACTATTATATTTAACACATTTACCCCCTAATATCCACAAATGGACCGATCCAGATCAAGGGATGAGAAAGGATTAAGAATATTTCTATGTGTTAATGCATCTGACTATGATGTATTCCATTTCAGGGTGAGCATATACAGAAAGTAACCAAAGAGTTCTGTGATTGGGTGGCGAGCCTAGGAGGAGAGGAGAATAATATTGAGGAGTCTACCATTACTAGTCTGTTTGCCAGTGGCTACGAGACAAAACCAGCCCTGTCTGTGCCGATACATGTCGTGGAGCTTACAAATGTTCCACAGGACCTCCGCAGTACAGCTCCTGGAGCACAAACGCAACAGGCAAACAAAAATATACCACCTGCAGAGCAGAAGAAAGAAAACTGGGTTAGTGAATATCCCATTGTTTTATCACAAATTAAACATCTTGCAACCTTAAATTTTACAAGAGGTTGATGTTATTCTAAAAAATCTTCTACAAAGGTTTTTTGTGTTAATTTATATCTATACATGCAGCTTAACATTAAAACAAATTGATGATGATGAACACCAGTCGACCTGTCTCAACAGAATCTACATATATAACATGATTAAAAAATAGTTCACTAACCATTGGTTGTCTCTAACCAGACGTTGAATAATGGGGCCAGGTTTCCTTACTAGCAATAGCATGTGTGACTAGTGATGGAAAGGTCGCTAGCTCCAGCTTTGGTAGAAAACCTGTGGTTACTTCTCCCTATTACAAGTCTTCAAAGGGTGCTAAGTTCATGCTTTCTAAATATTTTTATTTGAATTTGTATTAAAAATGCTACTTTTTCTACTTTTTTACAGAGCTACACAGGAAAGTATGAACCAAGTTGGGTAAAATTCAAATATGGATCTTGGTATTTGGACCCTAAAACTTGGAAGATGAGAAAGTATTCTGAACCCCTTATGGATCCAAAAGAGATTAAAGACAAGGAAATGTCTGAGGCCAAGAAGAGGAGCAAAGAATTGGTAAAAAATATATTCTAACATAACAGATTTACTAGCCATAATACTTGGTTACTGGGGCTCGTGGTAGCTCAGTTGATAGAGTATTGGCCTATGTGACCTTAGATGAAGATCTCTGGTGTGTGGTTCGACATTGCCTACCCCTGGTGTTTCCAGGCCAATCTTTGCCGGCACGTTTTTTTCTCTTTGATCAGGATACTTTTCCCCATTTGCTCTGAATGACGTACATTGGGACTCCTGTTTGTGGTTCGGTGAGGTAGTCACAAACTACAAAGAGATCCTGCCTCAGAGTGACCTTTTGCATTCAATAGTGATACATCCAGTGAAACTCAGTTATATATTGCTGTGATGTATATATATTGAGTTTAGGCGCACCTACGCATTGTGTATGATAATGAAAAATTTTCTAAAATGTTTTATGTTTCTTTTTGTCTAGGTATTTTCATTGAACACTGGCCTCATGATAAACCCTGTTCTAACGATAAACCCTGGTTTTATGATAAACCCTGTTCTAATGATAAACCCTGGTTTCATGATAAACCCTGTTCTCACGATAAACCCTGGTTTCGTGATAAACCCTGTTCTCACGATAAACCCAGGTTTCGTGATAAACCCTGTTATAACGATAAACCCAGGTTTCATGATAAACCCTGGCCTCATGATAAACCCAGGTTTCGTGATAAACCCTGTCCTAATGATAAATCCTGGCCTCATGATAAACCCTGGCCTCATGATAAACCCTGTCCTAATGATAAACCCTGGCCTCATGATAAACCCTGTTCTTACGATAAACCCTGGCCTCATGATAAACCCTGGCCTCATGAAAACCCTGTCCTCATGATAAACCCTGTCCTAATGATAAACCCTGGCCTCATGATAAACCCTGTCCTTACGATAAACCCTGGCCTCTTGATAAACCCAGGTTTCATGATAAACCCTGGCCTCATGATAAACCCTGTCCTCATGATAAACCCTGTCCTAATGATAAACCCTGGCCTCATGATAAACCCTGTCCTAATGATAAACCCTGGCCTCATGATAAACCCTGTTCTTACGATAAACCCTGGCCTCTTGATAAACCCAGGTTTCATGATAAACCCTGTTCTTACGATAAACCCTGGTTTAAGGATAAACCCTGGCCTCATGATAAACACAGGTTTCGTGATAAACCCTATTCTAACGATAAGGCCTGGTCTTAGAGGCGGAGTTTAACACTATATACAACCCACTTCTTCAAAACATAATGCTTCTTACTGTGTGGCACATGAAAGTTTTTTTTTGTCCAAACTTCCTGAGAAATTTGTTATATGATATGTTTTTTGAAACTTGACAGAATCAAGAAATATCTATCTCTCATGGAGCAAAGGCGTTTTCAGAGTTTATGAACCGAAGAGATGATCGCAAACCAGAGGTAAGTCTGTGGTATTGTTTATTAATGTGAGATTAATATTATGGAAGTACTTGATCCGTAGTTGTTTATGAAGTTATGTTGATTCCTGTTCAATCTGACACTTTGTAGGATAGGTCATATTGGACAGGATGTTGGTATAAAAAGGTTTTCATAAGAATGGGAGAACAGTAACCTGGAGATAATCTTATATGAAACAAAAACATTTTTTTTTTTTTTTTTTTTATCTTTTTGTGAAATTCTATATCTTTATATATATATTTTTGTATGTAAAGATTTATTTTTCTGCTCAAAAATCTGTCAAAAGGGGATAAAATGAAAGACAATTTTTAATTGGAATGATTTTACATGAAAATGATATGTTATATTATTTTCATCAATTTTAAACAATACTAATTTAACTTATGTATTCCCATCTGAACAATTGTTGAAACTTACAATGATTGAATGTTCCCCAAATTTTTGTGTTTAAATTCTTTACTTACCTCCCTTTATTCTTCCATCAAACTCATCTTGATGTCAAACTTGTACTTTTCAGCTCCTCAAGGGTCAGTGTATTGTTTAATTTGTTCTTGTTTTGTTCAATTGTTCTTTTTTTGTGTGTCATTGTTATTTGTGATAATTTAAAAACTTCACTTGTTGAATATGTTGAAAAGTGAAAAAGTCAAAACATTTTACTGAATCAAATAATAAGGATTGAGTTGAATTTATAACATGTATGTTAAAGTTCATGAAGACTGATCAATTTGGTTACAGAAATGAATTACATTTAAGAAAATCATGGCGAAATAAAAAATGAGAGAAAAATACACACAAAGGAGAATAATGATAGTTATTCTTGGTTGTGAAGAATACTTATTGCTAAATTATCATCAATGTGAATTTTATGAAAGGAAACAAAAAGCAGTTTTAACCTAAATTTATAAATATGTTTGCTGGACATTATGTAATATTTACAATCAAGTACTTAAAATAAGTGTTAACAATGTATATTTTACTTCTGTGCGTTATTTAAAGAAAGCCAGATAACAAAAGATGGAATTTTTAATTTCTGTTTCAGTTTTTAATTGAAGTGGAGGATATACAACAGAAGGCGGCAGAAGAGGAAGCGAGAAAGTTAGAGGCCGAGTTAGCGGCCAAGAACAAAACATTTTTATATCGTAAAAAGGCTGACACTGTGGAAGCCTCCTAGCTGTTACTGTGATGTTACATCATTACAGGAGAAATCAGATCAATGCTTATATTTCTCAAGCCAGTGAAATAATGCTAATAATTTTATAAATTGTTTTTGTAAATTAAGAATCCGTCCGTTCATTTTAGATTGTTATATAAATTTAATTTCCTGTTTTATCAGCAGTCATAATGCTATAGGTAAGCTATGTTAATTGATTTTTAAATCTATGGATATATTTAAATTTGTTCCAAGGTATTTTTCAGAAATAAAACTACAGACCATAGTCACTTTTGTATGAAAGTTCTATAGAATAATATAGAGTATGGGTGTACCCTAAGCTCATTTCCATACTTTTTGATGTGTTAAAGTAATAACTATGCTTTTTATTCATCAAAAATTTGTGAATATTGCAGGAATATTTTTGTTCAATTTCAAGATGTTGTTAGAAAATATAACTATATTTTATCTGTTCACTTAACGTCGTAAATTAAGAAATGTTGTTCTGCTTGTTTATATTTTGGATATCACAAAAATATTCTTCGTCGCATTGTAAGAATGGGTCACAATATTAGTGTTCGTGTTGTGGTCTTCATGGTAGAAACTTCAGCTGAGCTTGCGAGTTTAACTTACTGTGAAAGTCAGTATTTTTGGGAGTTTCTAGTTTTCTTTTTTTAAGGATGGAATAAATTTTCAAAAGATAAATATCCTGAAAATAGGAGTACTATTTCCATCCTGTCTGATTTCCTGAAACCTCACTGGAAATAACGAACAGTGAAGAAATCTGTCTATCTTTGTTTTTTTTTTTAAATATTGAAACCTTTTTTAATGAGCAAAGTTACATTTTATTACCTGGTATTCTGATATTGTATTTACTATCTAATCTATGAACTTTTTGATAATCAAACTCAGAAATATCCTTTTCATACTTATATGTCTAGAAATTTTACAAGAATGATAAATAAAATGGACACTTTGAGATTGGTATTGGAATGTGAAGGAGTTAAAATATACACATTGTACGACCTGTATTTTGATTGGTGGAGAAAAGAAAAAAAAAACTATTTTCCTAATAGGTATTTGGTTCCAATAAGATGAACCAAAGCTAGAACCTTCAATTTAATGTTAAATTTTAGGAACTAAGATCACATGCTGTGTTATTAAACCTGATGTATACATTGTGATAATGTTTGTTTCTATTAAACATATTTTATTATGATACAATCACTTTAAAGTGAGAGTATACACACCACTGTGATATAATTTTACTGTAATTTAGGATGTTTTTGTACATTTTATTTTCATTAAGAGACAAGAATACAGAGATTTTGATATAAATACAGGTCACAGGAATGATATTGATCAAATCCGTTATACATACGCAGGAAAATTGACTTTTTTTTTCCAGCAAAATTTTCCTATTCACGAATTCCAGGATAATTTATGAAGTATGTAACAATGCTGTGAAAATAAAGTGAGACAAAAACATTCTAATTTATAGTAAATGAATACATGTTATGAATATGTTATGCTGATGTTAAGTTTCACTGAGCATCAATAAAAATTTTAAAAAATCACAACAGGTGGTTTTTGTTTCATTAGTATTCCACTTGGAACTGGAGTGAAATATAGTTTGGCAAAGTGTCCCTCTGTCTGTCCACCCATCCTTCGGTCCTTCTGCTCATCTCTCATTCCACCCATCCTTCAGTCCGTCTGCTCATCCATCTATCCACCCATCCTTCAGTCCTTCTGCTCATCCGTCTATCCATCCATCCTTCGGTCCTTCTGCTCATCTGTCATTCCACCTATCCTTCGGCCCTTCTGCTCATCCGTCTATCCATCCATCCTTCAGTCCTGCTCATCCATCTATCCATCCATCCTTCAGTCCTTCTGCTCATCCATCTATCCACCCAACCTTCGGTCCTTCTGCTCATCTGTCATTCCACCCATCCTTCGGTCCTTCTGCTCATCCGTCTATCCATCCATCCTTCAGTCCTGCTCATCCATCTACCCACCCAACCTTCAGTCCTTCTGCTCATCCATCTATCCATCCATCCTTCAGTCCTGCTCATTCATCTATCCATCCATCCTTCGGTCCTTCTGCTCATCCGTCTATCCATCCATCCTTCGGTCCTTCTGCTCATCTGTCATTCCACCTATCCTTCGGCCCTTCTGCTCATCCGTCTATCCATCCATCCTTCAGTCCTGCTCATCCATCTATCCATCCATCCTTCAGTCCTTCTGCTCATCCATCTATCCACCCAACCTTTGATCCTTCTGCTCATCTGTCATTCCACCCATCCTTCGGTCCTTCTGCTCATCCGTCTATCCATCCATCCTTCAGCCCTGCTCATCCATCTATCCACCCAACCTTCGGTCCTTCTGCTCATCCATCTATCCATCCATCCTTCAGCCCTGCTCATCCATCTATCCACCCAACCTTCGATCCTTCTGCTCATCTGTCATTCCACCCATCCTTCGGTCCTTCTGCTCATCCGTCTATCCATCCATCCTTCAGCCCTGCTCATCCATCTATCCACCCAACCTTCGATCCTTCTGCTCATCTGTCATTCCACCCATCCTTCGGTCCTTCTGCTCATCCGTCTATCCATCCATCCTTCAGCCCTGCTCATCCATCTATCCACCCAACCTTCGATCCTTCTGCTCATCTGTCATTCCACCCATCCTTCGGTCCTTCTGCTCATCCGTCTATCCATCCATCCTTCAGCCCTGCTCATCCATCTATCCACCCAACCTTCGGTCCTTCTGCTCATCCATCTATCCACCCATCCTTCAGTCCTTCTGCTCATCCATCTATCCATACATCCTTCGGTCCTTCTACTCAATCGTCTATCCATCCATCCTTCGGTCCTTCTGCTCCTCCGTCTATCCATACATCCTTCTGTCCTGCTCATCCGTCTATCCACCCAACCTTCGGTCCTTCTGCTCATCCATCTATCCATCCATCCTTCAGTCCTTCTGCTCATCCATCTATCCATCCATCCTTCGGTCCTTCTGCTCATCCGTCTATCCACCCAACCTTCGGTCCTTCTGCTCATCCGTCTATCCACCCATCCTTCGGTCCTTCTGCTCATCCGTCTATCCATCCATCCTTCGGTCCTTCTGCTCATCCTTCTGCTCATCCATCCTACAGTCCTGCTCATCCATCTATCCATCCATCCTTCAGTCCTTCTACTCAATCGTCTATCCATCCATCCTTCGGTCCTTCTGCTCCTCCGTCTATCCATACATCCTTCTGTCCTGCTCATCCGTCTATCCACCCAACCTTCGGTCCTTCTGCTCATCCATCTATTCATCCATCCTTCAGTCCTTCTGCTCATCCATCTATCCATCCATCCTTCGGTCCTTCTGCTCATCCGTCTATCCACCCAACCTTCGGTCCTTCTGCTCATCCGTCTATCCACCCATCCTTCGGTCCTTCTGCTCATCCTTCTGCTCATCAATCCTTCAGTCCTTCTCATCCATCTATCCATCCATCCTTCAGTCCTTCTCATCCGTCTATCCATCCATCCTTCGGTCCTTCTGCTCCTCTGTCTATCCATACATCCTTCTGTCCTGCTCATCCGTCTATCCACCCAACCTTCGGTCCTTCTGCTCATCCGTCTATCCACCCATCCTTCAGTCCTGCTCTTCCGTCTATCCACCCATCTTTCGGTCCTTCTGCTCATCCGTCTATCCATCCATCCTTCGGTCCTTCTGCTCATCCGTCTATTCACCCATCTTTCAGTTCTGCTCTTCCGTCTATCCACCCATCTTTCGGTCCTTCTGCTCATCCTTCTATCCACCCATCCTTCAGTCCTTCTGCTCATCCGTCTATCCACCCATCCTTCAGTCTTGCTCATCCATCTATCCATCCATCCTTTGGTCCTTTTGCTCATCCTTCTATCCACCCATCCTTTTGTCCTTCTGCTCATCCGTTTATCCACCCATCCTTCAGTCTTGCTCATCCATCTATCCATCCATCCTTTGGTCCTTTTGCTCATCCTTCTATCCACCCATCCTTTTGTCCTGCTCTTCCGTCTATCCACCCATCCTTCGGTCCTTCTGCTCATCCGTCTATCCATCCATCCTTCGGTCCTTCTGCTCATCCGTTTATTCACCCATCTTTCAGTCCTGCTCTTCCGTCTATCCACCCATCCTTCAGTCTTGCTCATCCATCTATCCATCCATCCTTTGGTCCTTTTGCTCATCCTTCTATCCACCCATCCTTCAGTCCTGCTATCTGGTCCTGGATCTTTCTTCTACACAACTGATCACAGGAAGTATATATTTGGGATATTGATTCACTTTGATGAGATGGTGTGTTACATATCAAAAGTAGGTCACGTGTCTTACATTTTGACCTTTGAAATACATCAAAGAACATTTTTTCCCAATTTTATCACCTACACTCCTAGTCATAGGAACTTCATACTAACAGTATGCATTCACCTTGGTAAAGCAATTTGTCAAGTATTAAAAGTAGGTTTCTCCGATCTACATTTTGACCTATGACCTACAATAAAGAAAACAATATCTGGCCCGTGTCTCCTTAAATACTTGTCACTTTAACTTCATACCTAGGATTTTGATTACATCATTTACAGCCAAAAAGAAACTTGACGCCACTGACTACACCGAAAGTTTTGGGTTTCGTGCCGCCGGCCGCCATTTTGACATCCCAGAATTTATCATTCCGGCATGGAAGAAAATGGAAGAACGCCTTAAGTCTCAACCCCTGACCACAAAGACCGAAAGAGGTACGACAGCGAAACATCCAGAGATGGAGAGAGAGCTGTTCAACTTTGTATACAATCGCCGAGATGCTGGCATTGCTGTCAGTACGACAGAACTGCGCCTGCAGGCTATGCAGATCCAGAGAGGTCATAAGGGCACAGACTTCAAGGCATCCATTGGATGGGCTGTCCGATTTCTGAACAGACACATACTGAGTGTCCGGAGGAGAACTACAATCGCCTAAAAATTTCCGGGCGTTTATGAAGATAAACTAATACAATTCCAGAGATATATCATCAAAATGAGGCAGAAATACGACACTGACCCATCTAGAACTGGGAACGCTGACCAAAAACCCCTTACTTTTGCTCTGCCTTAAGACACTACAGTAGCTCCGTCCAATAGCAAGACCGTATCCTTGCGAACGACGGGTGATGAGAAAAATAGATTCACCGTGATGCTAGCGTGTATTGCTGAAGGTACCAAACTTCCGCCTGTCAAAAGACCGACACTGCTCCCCAGCAAACTTCCCAAAGGGAGTGACCGTACGCGTCCACGTACAGATAAATAATAATGATACTCAATTGCATTAAAAATCGAAATTTATTTTATTCTTTGTTGTTTTTATCTTCGATCTGTCACATATGCTCGGCGACTCTAAATATAAATATGTGACGGGATGTAATTCAATATGGCGGACAGAAAACTCCGGAAAGATGACCCAAGAACGGCATGTTCTTGCGGATATGACGCACCCCCTATTTGACATGACAGTTTTTGCTTAAAAAAGTGCGCACACTACATACATATTAACGGTAATCGTCCTGAGGAGGCGCACCTCGTTGCAAAAATAGGTCACTATGGCATATATTTTGACTTTTGACCTATATCGAAGAAAACGTTTATTTCGGCTTCATCTGCTACACTGCCATTCATATTCATAGGTGGACTGTAGGATTGCAACTTGCAGAACGGAGTTTTGTGTTTTTTTGTCTGTGGCAATATGTATTTTTTTTTCGATTTTCAAACACAAATGCCATTGAGGTAACCGTAAGCTGCAGTATATTACAAATCTTTAATCTTTGAAATTGTATTTCAAAAGATCTTTTAAACAAACAAAATCATCGGACGTATTTAACTTCATATCACACAACAAGGAAACAGAATATTTCCAAATGACGACCGTACAATTTCCCCATAATTATCAATCTGCTTTTTCGAAACCATTGGTTTTGATTTGTCAGCAGCTGTCGACATTATTCACGAATATCGTGATATTGGAAAGCTCTCGTAATTGTTTAATTAAATGCGACATTTAAACACCGAAGGCAAGGAAAACAGGAATGTTACTATCAAGAAATAGAAAATTCACAATAAGGAATTTTTTTTTAAAAAATCAGCAAACACTTGTGCAGCTAAGTGGAAAGCTGTCATGGTATCGTTGTGGAAAACTCCCTGGATATGCTGGTATATCAAGTGGACGTGATCAATAGATTTCTTATTTTTAGAATACAAGACATTATAGCTAATTAGAATTAAAGAATTGTCGAGCTCTTAGTATTTTGTCTAAGAGATATGACTTAATTCGAGATGGTTGGTCCAATGGTAGCCATCTTCCTTTTTCCAACGGCAGAAACTTAAAAGGCGATATTAGCATTACAAATTATTTCGTCTGGAATGCCTGATTTGTCAGTTGTCTTAAAATCATTTGGACTGATCGGATTCAATAAAAGCAACTGGCAGACGTTTTTGTATTAAATAAAACCGGTATAGTTTTATTCGAAATTGCAACTGCACAACTAGAGCCAGTTACTTAGGAAACTCCGTGTATCAAGATCTGAGAGCGACGCCTCCATGAAGCCTTTTCTGAGAGAGTGGTCATAAAGTACTAGTAGTATTGAAATCGGAGATTCAAATGACAGTCACCAAATCGATATGTCACCGTCACACGGGAAATGCCGATGTTGACCTCATAAGATAAAATATTTTCACGGTAAAGGAAAAGTTTAGTACAACACAAGCTAACAACACTTCCGTAATTTACCAGTGTACAATAAGGTGAGCTTCGGGGTAGTCATGTCGTAAATAAAGCGTTAAGCAATTTATTTTCATGGCTATCCTACCAGTATCTGATTATTGTATTTTAAAGCTATTATTTTCGTGGCGATAAATTTTCGTGACTTTTCTTATACCCAAAAATAAATTGCTCGCGAATATTTGTTAGTTTACAGCATCTGAGTTTCTCTGTAATAAGGAATTTAGAATAAAAGGGGTTGTACCGGCAAAATAGGACCAAATGCCTGTAATGAATGATGATAAATGTGATACAACATGATACATTGTGAAGGTTTCAAATGTTGTCCAAATTCTTACATCAGTTGTGACTGTCAGTCTGTCTCCATAACTACTGTAGCCTTTGTATATATAATACACTGATAGACATGTCTGTCACCGTAATGAAAAAGATTCCATTTTATGAATAGGTAATGTTCCTTATTTATAAGATATTTTCAAGATATCGGTGAATGAGAATTGTAAAATTGAAATTTTATTCTAGGGTAAATATACGCTTGTAAGAAACATTCCCGTCTAGTCATGGAATGTATATATTCAAATTTACCTGCACTATCTGTGATGATAAAGTTGGAAAATATGAAATCTTAATAAAACTTCTAATAACGCGGTATCTTATCGTGTAGTAACAATGAGAAAATAATTAGGTCAATTTATACTGTATGGAGATTTATCTATGTGTCCGCCCAACCCTGTCTAGATTATTACAACTTGTGGACAGGGACAGGTTGTAACAAAGACAGGTGACAAACACTCATTTATGTACTATGAACCTGGTAAAATTTCTGAATAATTAAGCAAAGAAAATTTGTCACTCTGTAATGATGATTGGACAAAATGACTACGTTATGAATAACAAAACTGGAATTTAAGGAAACATAAACATGCTGAAAGAAAATATCAACAGACTTTTGAAGGGATTTACATTCCAAACTACTTATAATACTACTGTGTCGGCCCTCTCTATTTCGATGTGTTTTAGATTACTAAACCCTGTTTCAATAACAGTATGCCCTGATACAAAGGATAAAAAGGCACGCGATTACCGTCAATGACAGGATGTAAGAAATCAAAAGTGTCCCCGACTGTAAAAACGGGATTATTTTAGATTAAACTTTCAGAAAGATCCAAGACATTGTCACGTGTCACTGTCATAATTGATACCTAATCGACAGAACAGGACAAGATGGAATCCGTTTTCATGACACTATGTGGAAAAGAATCCAAGTTTGAACTCGAGTGATCATTTAAATTTACATATAAATTCTCACCACGAAATTTACCGCATTATATGTATGTTAAGTGGAGGAGATATGTAGACTGGTTTTATCTATATTTAGTTTTGAAGTTTCCGTTTATAAATTAATGCACGATAAAATGTTAATACTTGTGAATGTTAATCGATAAAAGCACATACCACATCAGTTTTGTCTGATACAAGTTGATAAAAAATAGAGATTTTTGAAGGAGAGAAATGGGGAGGTTAGGGCGATTGAAACGGGGTGGAGGAGGGGGTTAGTGAGATTGAGAGGGGGTTGGTGGGTGGAGGAGGGGGTTAGTGAGATTGAGAGGGGGTTGGTGGGTGGAGGAGGGGGTTAGTGAGATTGAGAGGGGGTTGGTGGGTGGAGGAGGGGGTTTGTGAGATAGATTAAGAGGTGGATGGGTTGGTGGAGGAGGGGGTTAGTGAGATTGAGAGGGGGTTGGTGGGTGGAGGAGGGGGTTTGTAAGATAGATTAAGAGGTGGATGGGTTGGTGTAGGAGGAGGTTAGTGAGATTGAGAGAGAGAGAGAGAGAGAGAGAGAGAGAGAGAGAGAGAGAGAGAGAGAGAGAGAGAGAGAGAGATGGAGAAGAGAGAGAGAGAGAGAGAGAGAGAGAGAGAGAGAGAGAGAGAGAGAGAGAGAGAGAGAGAGAGAGAGAGAGAGAGAGAGAGAGAGAGAGAGAGAGAGGTGGAGAAGTGGGTTAGTGAGATTGAGAGAGAGAGAGAGAGGTGGAGAAGTGGGTTAGTGAGAGAGAGAGAGAGAGAGAGAGAGAGAGAGAGAGAGAGAGAGAGGTGGAGAAGTGGGTTAGTGAGATTGAGAGAATAATTTCAATAGGATATGTACAGAAATTATGCATGCTACCGATTTTTAAAGATTTTCTCGTAAATATCTTAATTTTATGTGTCACTTATTGACATGTGTTTACTATCACTTTATCGGCACCAGTACTTTATGACATTTGTGGTATATGACAGATTTGTACGTCGCAAAAAGACAGAGTAAATTTGATTTCACCATCGCACCTTGTCCTATTAAAAAGACAAGCCTCAATGTAAATATACATAGACAAAACACTAGCCATACATTTACGTGGCTTCACATGCTAAAAGTCTGATTCTCATCGCATTGTATATGTCTATCTATTGTCCATGGTTTAACGGAACACAATTTAAATCTAATCGTCTAAATGTCTTAGAACTGTCAATTTTTATTTGATATCAAATGAAATGATATCTGATAAGTATTTAACTGTATTGACATATACCCACATATTGTATCATATCACTGTTTGTACTGCAGTCTTCTGTTTACTTACCGACAAGCTGAATTAAACTGACGTACTGATACTTTTAATATATTCTTCACTGGCGGGTACCTTTGTGATATTACACGATACAGACAACTTTTGTTGGTGTTATATATTTTTATAACAGACGTAAAAGTAGCTGGGACTTTCTGAGGAAGTACGTACTGGGGTAGATAACCAGGCCTTAATACTTATCTTTTTTTATTGTTGTTTGAAAGCACAATGACAGAAAATTGAAATTGAACTAAAAAGCACAATGACAGAAAATTGAAATTGAACTAAAAAGCACTATGACAGAAATCAAGGAGACAGTAAAAGAGATTTTGAAACATCAAAAACATGTAAAACCTTGTGTTCCGGACAATCATGAATTCCCGGTACTATACGTAACACACATATAGTTATATCATGTTTATGTCATATCTCCAGGTATTACATGCCTCAAGTTATTCCCTGAAATATCGTAATACAAGACGCAATATTTTCTCGCATTTTGTCGATGCTTTTCCGTCTTCTACAGAAAAACGAAATAAACACGTCTCTCTCAACTCCGAGGGAAACGCATGCCCTTGTGTAGAAAGATATTTACCACCTAAACAAATTTGT